AGTTGACTTATCTAGTACTTATTTACAGCTGGGTAGACTGGAATAATAAGGACAGTTGACTTATCTAGTACATATTTACAGCTGGGTCAACTGGAATAATAAGGACAGGTGACTTATCTAGTATATATTTACAGCTGGGTAGACTGGAATAATAAGGACAGATGACTTATCTAGTACTTATTAACAGCTGGGTAGACTGGAATAATAAGAACAGTTGACTTATCTAGTACATATTTACAGCTGGGTAGACTGGAATTATAATGACAGTTGACTTATCTAGTACTTATTAACAGCTGGGTAGACTGGAATAATAAGGAGAGATGACTTATCTAGTACTTATTAACAGCTGGGTAGACTGGAATAATAAGAACAGTTGACTTATCTAGTACATATTTACAGCTGGGTAGACTGGAATTATAAGGACAGTTGACTTATCTAGTACATATTTACAGCTGGGTCAACTGGAATAATAAGGAAAGGTGACTTATCTAGTATATATTTATAGCTGGGTAGACTGGAATAATAAGGAGAGATGACTTATCTAGTACTTATTAACAGCTGGGTAGACTGGAATAATAAGGAGAGATGACTTATCTAGTACTTATTAACAGCTGGGTAGACTGGAATAATAAGAACAGTTGACTTATCTAGTACATATTTACAGCTGGGTAGACTGGAATTATAATGACAGTTGACTTATCTAGTACTTATTTACAGCGGGGTAGACTGGAATAATAAAGACAGTTGACTTATCTAGTACTTATTTACAGCTGGGTCAACTGGAATTATAATGACAGTTGACTTATCTAGTACTTATTTACAGCTGGGTCAACTGGAATAATAAGGACAGTTGACTTATCTAATATATATTTACAGCTGGGTCAACTGGAAAAATAAGGACAGTTGACTTATCTAGTACATATTTACAGCTGGGTCAACTGGAATAATAAGGAAAGGTGACTTATCTAGTATATATTTATAGCTGGGTAGACTGGAATAATAAGGAGAGATGACTTATCTAGTACTTATTAACAGCTGGGTAGACTGGAATAATAAGAACAGTTGACTTATCTAGTACATATTTTCAGCTGGGTAGACTGGAATTATAATGACAGTTGACTTATCTAGTACTTATTAACAGCTGGGTAGACTGGAATAATAAGGAGAGATTACTTATCTAGTACTTATTAACAGCTGGGTAGACTGAAATAATAAGAACAGTTGACTTATCTAGTACATATTTACAGCTGGGTAGACTGGAATTATAATGACAGTTGACTTATCTAGTACATATTTACAGCTGGGTCAACTGGAATAATAAGGAAAAGTGACTTATCTAGTATATATTTATAGCTGGGTAGACTGGAATAATAAGGAGAGATGACTTATCTAGTACATATTTACAGCTGGGTTAACTGGAA